CATGTACATTCATGTAGTGATAATTCCCCGTTACTGGTAAATGTTACGGTTGATACTAAAATTGTAAATTTTCAATTGGACACCTGTGCAGGTTGTACTGTAATAAATAAGGGAGATTTTGACAAATTGTACCCTAATGCCCGATTGTCTCGGTCGTTACTTCAACTAAACTCTTATACTGGAAATAGTATAAAAGTTATTGGTGAAAAACTAGTGTCTGTTGATTATAAGGAACGAACACTCACTTTACCGTTAGTTATTGTTGATGGTAAAGGCCCTCCTTTGTTGGGGAGGTCGTGGATCAAGGCCCTAAATTTGGATTTATATGAAATATTAATGTTATATACAGTTCAGTCTTCACCGAATTTATCTAGTTTATTACAGGAATTCGATGATTTATTCTCTGATGAAGTTGGTCTTTTAAAAGATTACGAAGTAACTTTGGATATTGAAAAAGATGCGAAACCGGTATTTTGTAAGGCAAGGTCAGTACCCTATTCAATGAAAAAACGTATCGATGACGAACTTCACCAACTGGAGAAAGATGGATTGATCAGAAGAGTAAAGTACTCGGACTGGGCTGCACCAGTTGTGCCTGTCATAAAACCTAATGGAAAATTGAGGTTATGTGGTGATTATAAACTAACTATAAATAAGTATGCCAAATTAGATAAGTATCCTTTACCTTTAATTGATCAGATATTCGCAAATTTATCTGGTGGTAAATTGTTTTCGACATTAGACTTGTCTCAAGCATATCTTCAATGTGCCTTAGATGAAAGTTCAAGACATCTAACAACTATAAATACTCTCAGCGGTTTATTTGAATATTTAAGACTTCCGTTTGGTGTGAGTTCAGCTGTTAGTTTATTTCAAAGAGCAATAGAGGCGGTTTTAAAAGGTTTGGATGGTCAAAGTGCGTACCTTGATGACATTATTGTTACGGGACAGAATGAGAAGGAACATCTACATAATTTACGGAATGTATTTACAAGGTTACGGGATTGTGGTTTGAAACTAAGGAAAGAAAAGTGTAAATTTCTTTTGACTAATGTTGAATATTTAGGTTTTAAAATTTCAGCTGAAGGTATACACCCTACTGAATCGAAAGTAAAAGCGATTAAAGATGCTCCTCCTCCAAATAACATTTCACAGTTAAGGTCATTTATCGGTTTGGTGAATTATTATTCTCGCTTTCAATCTAACCTTCCTCATCATATGGCACCATTGTATGAATTGTTAAAATCTAATAAGACTTTTATATGGCAAGGGAAGCATAATTCTACATTTCAAAAAGTTAAAGATTTGATTATGACCCTGAAGCTGATTTGGTATTATCTTGTGACGCTTCACCTGCTGTATTACAGCAGAAAAAGCATTGTAAACTTAAACCCGTAGCTTTTGCTTCAAGAAGTTTAACGGTCGCCGAGAAAAACTATGCGCAAATTGAACGTGAAGCTTTAGCAATTATATTTGGGGTTCAGAAATTTAGACTATTGGGTAGAGAGTTTTGTTTATTTACAGATCACCAGCCATTGGTCAAGTTGTTTGGGGAAAACAGTGGCATTCCACAACTTGCAGCATCCCGTATAAAGAGATGGGCATTAATATTATCAGCTTATAAATATCATGTTAAGTATATTCCTTCCAAAAATAATTTATGCGCCGATTATTTGTCGCGCACGCCATTACAAGACTATAGTGATGAATTTAGCGTATGTCAGTCTGATAGTGTTTTATTTGTGAATGCTCTGGGATTAAATGAAATTCCTCTAACTTCGAAAGTTATTGCCGCAGAGACACGGACTGATAAATGTTTAGCTAAAGTGCTCCAGCTGACAAGAGAGGGTTGGCCGCTAACTTGTGATGTAGAGGATCTTAAGGTATTTTTTTGTAAGAAGATCGGAACTCTCTATAGAACAAAACTGTATTTTGTGGGGGAGTAGAGTTGTCGTTCCTAGCTCCCTGCGTGATTTGTTACTTTTAGATTTACATAGTGAACATTATATGGGAACTATGCGGATGAAGTCGCTTGCCAGACAATATTTTTGGTGGCCTAATTTAGATAAAGACATTGAACAAATTACCAAACATTGCCTTAGTTGTCAGGAAAATGCTTCATTACCGTCACGTCCGGTTGCTTCATGGAATTGGCCGTCTGGTCCGTGGAAAAGGTTGCACTTGGATTTCGCTGGACCTTTCATGGGGCATAGTTTTCTAATTGTGGTTAATTCCTATTCGAAATGGCTTGAGGTTATAATAATGAAATCAACTACAAGTTATTCCACAATAAATCAGCTTCGTAAGTTATTTGCAACTTTTGGCACCCCCTGAACACATAGTTACTGATAACGGTGGCCAATTTGTTAGCAGTGAGTTTGAAGCGTTTCTAGATAAAAATAATATACACATTACTAGAACGGCTCCTGCGCATCCTGCTACTAATGGTCTGGCTGAGCGTTATGTGGGCTATTTTAATAAACAAATGAATAAAATGTCTAACGACAAAGGAAGTATAGAAGAGAAACTGTGTCGATTTTTATTGTCCTATCGCACGACACCTCATACGGCGACGGGTGAGACTCCGTGTTATTTATTGATGAAAAGACAATTGCGTACACGTTTCTCAAGTCTTAGGCCCTCACTAACTTCTAGAAAATAAACTGAAGTATTTGAAAGGAATTTTGCTGTGCCTAAATTTAAATGTGATTTAGTGTTTGTTTTAAATCTTCGATCAGGACCTCGTTGGTTACCTGGTGTTGTTATCAACGTTATGCAAAGCTCGTATGACGTTCAAGTTGGTCAGAACGTGTGAAAAAGACACGAAGATCAAATCCGTAAACGAGAATTAAGTGTTCCGAATGAGCAAGAATTTATTGAAAATCCTGTATTACCTTCGACTCATGAATCATTTAAACCACCAATGTTTAATGATGACAAAGTTTCTATTCCAGATAATGCTAGCCCAAATACAGCAGCTACTGGTGAGATGTCTGATGTTAAATCGTCTGATGTTAATACGCATCCTTCTGTTTTACCCCGAAGAAACCCTTATCGCGAACGAAAACCTCCAGAAAGATTTAACCCTTCGTCGCAGTAATTTATTAAATTTGTGAAGAATAATTGTCCATTTATGATAATAATGTATACTTGTAAGGAAGGGGTAATTGTTATGTATTGATTGGTTCAATTGCATGACACACGCGCATGCCCAGAAAAGTTATTTCTGGTAGCTCAACAGTGATTTACATGTATTAAAAACGGTGAAAGTATTGTTGTCTCCAAACAGTATTATTTCCATTGTATCCGGCAGAGGCGGATTTAAGCCCCCCCCCCTAATTTTCGACAGTGCCCTTACTGCTGAAAGTGCCCTTTCTCAGACCCAAATATGTCCGTTCCCAACCTGTTGCAGGGATCCCAAATGACTCAAACCATCGATTCAAACACACCAGTCTATTCTAATTAATGCTTTTATTTCACTTTCAAACGAATTCTTGTTGTTTAATTATTAGCTGACGGTGCCCTACTCCTATAGAGTGGCTATAGACAGACATCTTGTGGAATCGGCGGCGTATACACTTATGCCCATCACCGACGCACATGAGTGCAACTTGATGTAGCATTGTTTCATGTGTTGACAGTACAAAGTACAAGTTACAAGGCTTAAATAGTGAAGTGGCTAGGGAATAGATTCGTCTTTTTTCCCATCATAATGCCTCGCTCGCCATGACAATTTTCGAGTCGCATGTTCAACTGGCTTTTTTGCTCGATTTTAAGGCTATTTTTCAACGATTTCCGAACGTTTACTTAGACGAAAATATCAGCCAAATAGCTCTTGGAATGGCTACAGATGCAAGGAAATGACAGATAATTTTCGTGGGAACCCCCCCCCCCCCAAAAAAAATCGCCTCCCAGCGGCGTGCCCCACCTCCGCGGTCAGTGCCCTCATTTTGCGGCGCCCCCCCCCCCCCGTTCAAAATTCCTAGATCCTCCCCCTGATCCGTTTTGATAGCCTCGTTTGTCTAACCAAACGAAACACTGCGAGGAGTATGGTGATTTTAGGTGTTTTAAAGTAATTTATTATCGATGCAAAATATTAGTGAATAGGAATTTAGCTTGTGGACACTATAAAAGTCACAAATAACTTCTGAACATTTATGTTACTCCAATCACTCTACACATACATATTAAAATTGTAGCTCTCACTTTCAAAGGTCAAGACTCTACTGGGATGCATGACACCTAATGAAATAGTGCCCATGTTCAGTACATCAGGTGCTTTATAATTACTGATAAAAGACTGGATGAGCGGCCACAACAAACCAAGCTTTTTCAAAAATTGATATGTTGGTGATCAACTAAATTTCAAAGATAGGTTGCAAGGCAACGAAACATACATCCACAGCAGCTAAATCATCTGAGCGGTCGACAGGGGTTGTCGCATATTTGTTCTTTTGTAGGTAATTAGGGGCATTTAATAGACAATTTCATACAGATGACATAATAATTTTAGTTGTTTGAGGGTTCTAAAAACTAAACCAAGGGCCTTAACTCTGGAAGTAATCTACAAAAATTGTTGAAATTCGACAGGCTTTTTCGTGTTACTAATTCAAATTTCATACGGATTGGATGATAAGTATGATAACTTTTGACGTTAGAGCGTTCCCAAGGTGCAACAAGGGCCACAACTCCAGAAGAAATTAACAGAAGTTATTGAAATTAAAAAGGCTTCTTCATCTCACTAATGCAAACAACATATATCAATTTCAAAACAATCAGATGAGAAAATGTAGTCTGTAGAGCGTTCACAAGAAATTGAGGACGACGGACGAGGGCAATATATGAGCGTATAAAAACTAAAATTTTCAAATTTCGTGATTTAAAGAGAAAGAAATTGACTTTAACTCACATATTGTATCCAATTAAAGTTTCAAAACCTATTGGTTGTTGCCCTTTTAGCACCAATATAGATGGTATTTTAAGCAGTTTGTTGATTATAACATAAATGAGTATTATATATAAATTATTTATTCAAATAAATAGAACCTATTAAATTATGTATGAAATGATAATTGAATATATACAATGTCTGTGTTGAATAGATGAACTTTTAATTTATATTCATTCAGATATTTAGGGAGGGGTGTCACAATATTATCTATGCAAACTGATTTAGAGATAAAATATAAAAAAAACAATAGCACAAAAATTCTACTATTTCATTGTACAACACAAATATACAACACTGGAATGTTTCTGGAATTCAAAATTTGGTTATCATATATGAATATTTCAAATATACAGCTTTTTCTTTATTGTAAATGTAAATATTGAAAACAAGAAAAACAAACAAAACACAATATTTTCTCAACACTGACAAGAAAAAATAACTTTCAGAATAAAACATTTTTTTTGTTGTGCCTAAAATCATTGAAATCTGTCAAAAATTGTCAGTTAAAATTTCATAAATTGTTTCGTTCACTTTTGCATCCCCTTCTTTTGGGGTTTTCAAATGGCATATTTTTAAACCATTTCAAGAAAATGTTTATCATCATAAAATGACATACATGTTGTAAAAACACATCCATAAAATACAGTTTTGTTAACCCCTATTCGTCCATGTTGTAAATGGTGCCAAAAACCCTGCAGTTTTATCTTGCTAATCTAGTATTTTAAAACTAATATGAATATGCACAAATTATTTGTAATATATTATTTTATAATGATAAACATGTTATTGCATAGGTTTAAACATATACTAACGGGGAACTAAAAGGGGAAGGGGGTTGCAGAGTTCTCTAAGGAGACCAAGAGTTCAGATTTTAACAAGAGCTCATAGTCCTTTTATTTATCCTCTAAGCTTGCAGAAAATTGGTTTATGATATTACACATTCATTGTTTTCATGAAGTTACTCTTTATATATTTAAAAGTTAGAAAATAAGGGTATGGCTATAAAAATACACAATACATTGTTATTATTACTTTTGGCCTTAAACATGGAATAATATTAACATAATTAACATGCATTTATATGGAATGTGGACTAGAATTTATTAAGGTAAAATTCAAATAAACTTAAAGCACTGTTTATGAAACAAAACATCAATATACAAATACTAAGGATTCCCTTGTTAATCTAAATGAACAGCTTTTCTCATCTTGAATTAAAATTCATGTCCCACATATGCATTATTATTATAATTTATTATATAAAACATCAATCATGTGTTACAACAAATTCTTAAAGCAATGTTAAAAGTTATGGGCAATCATTTTCATTGGTCTATCTTGCCCAATAATTAGAATAGCTGATACTTCCCCGGGTGTTTTTACTTGATACTTTTATTACATCAACCTTTCAAATGGGCTGTAGAAGTGAAATTCAGTGGAAATCTTGAGATAAAGTAGTAAAGCAAGCAGAGCACATGTGCCTGGTTCCAAGGGGAAGACAACTAATCATAGAGTAAATCAATAGATAAATGAGCCATAATGCTCAGAGGAAGTATCAATGGATAAAGAGCTGATATTGCTTGTAACAATTTCTTCAGGAATATGGTGTTACATAAGTTATTTACAAACTTATTCAAAATTATACTTCTCTAAACTTATACCTAGTACACTAACTTTTAAGTTCAATTTACACAATGGGCAATTTTTATTTTATTGTGAAACAGGGCTCTAAATCCATTTTGAGACGACCGGCCACAATTGCCACCAGTGTGAATAAGCTGATATTCTGTTATATATATTTTTTCAGTTGTAACAAGGGATGGTTATCTTCTCAATCATTGAGTAGTAATTAACTAAAAGAAACCCAGAACAAGACTGATTTATAATACCATAATGGCTATGTCATGGAAGTAGTCTGTTTGGTATTTAGAAAGAGCCCTGGTCCCAAATTTCAGTTGTTTCAAAAGTATAATCTTGGGCCAAATTATTTGATTCTCGCTATTTTGTACAAAAGGGGATTTTTACCTCACGTTCGTCTTATTGTATTTCAGGAAAACAATTTCGCTATGTCTCTGCGAGTTCTAATTATTAAATTCAAAAACAACTTTGTTACACAGGTAGATTAAATGATTAGAAAAATAACAAATTAAAAATCATACTGATGACTAAATGAACTACGCAATAACAATTAGAAAGAACAACACATTCTAGTGGTTAGTAACAATAACAATATACAATAATTGATAAATATTAGTAGATCTATGGAATTATACACATATATTAGTAATCAAATAAATAAATAAATGCATTAGTATGTAGTTTTAATAAATAATAAAAATACTGATGTACTGTTATAAAACAAACACAGTTTGCGTACATGGTCAGATGGGATGTTTGCAGGATATTTTTTTTAATACTATAATCTGTCGTGTTCTAAAACTATTTTTGGAGATGGATCTGACAGGTTAGTTGTACAGTTGCTGCAAAAATATGCCTGGTTTTGCGTCAAAATCTAAACTTTTAGTACAAGCTTAGCCAATAGCATAAACTATGCAGAAAATAAAAGATGTATGTTAACAAAATAATTCCTTGTATAATCAACCCAAAGATTTAGCTGCATTAGAAAATTAATCTTGGAAACGGTATCTGTAAACATGTAGAATCATAAATACAACTAAAAACCAAAGTTCATAGGGGAGATTACTCTTGTATCAGTGTATATCTCACAATTAGTTGAAACTTTTAAATTTAACCCTTAAATATAACCAACTTTTCACAGATGCCATTTGAAAAGTAAATAAAAATCAAGATAAAAACATTTCAATCATAATTTTCAGACTGCTCCACAATAACAATAATAAACAAACAAACTGAAAGGAACAGGTTCACCTTAAAAATACTAAATAAACCATAACTAGACTTCAAAACATTTCAATTTCACTAGATTATAAGATCCTTTTGGTTTCACTAGATTTCAAAGTTTCCACTTCTCTGAACTTTTAAATTGTCAAATTTTAAAAGTATTTCAAACCCAACTTCTACCGATCTAGGTTCAGTCATGGATTTCTTTGTAAATAACATAATAAAAAAACTAAAAACAACAACATTATAAAAAGTTCTTTGACACTATTCTTGACTAAATCAATACACTTTAGACGCAAAATCACATCAAAATGAAACAGAAATTGGGTATATCCACCATAATGGATAATCGTTCGATTGCACATATTATCTTCTAAATACAGATTCATGATGATTGCCACAATGCTATCACACTAGGGCATTGTTAATAGTCTTGTAATCACCACTATCTATGATAAACGATAGAGTTTTCGTAGTTTGTTAGTAGGCCAGTTTTCCAGGTGTTAATACACACAGATTAGTTCACATACACAAGCAAGACAGATAAAGCTTTTTGTTAAAGATGAGACAGGCTTATCTCCCTCCTTGATTATTCACAAATCAAAAGAAATTATTAAAACTGTTGGACTAGAACAAGAGAGGATATAGTAACTATCACATTTAAAATGAGCAAAAACAACAGGTGACTATGAAATGGGTGCAATTTTATCGCTCTGGTGAACGTTCGCGGTATAACAAATGTCTTCGTTCCCGACAGTATCGTTTATGTACTGGCCAATCCCTTTGCTGACAATATGTGCCACAATATCTGAAAATACAAAAGAGCATACAAATTATATAAAACATTTTATTTTTAGTATTGTTTTTCATATTTAACCAAGCCCGACACTCACTTAGCAGGGTTGGCAAAAAAAAAGTGTTTAGTCACTGGCTGTTCTTGATTTCCAGAAACCCTGGATATATTCATCTTACAAAGTGGATTGTATGTGTTACAAAGCATCGGTTATACAGAGAATCTCCTACAAGTCTTTTTTGATATCAAAAAAAAAAAAGACGAGTAGGAGATTTTATTTATCACACAATCCCTTCTTACATGCACAAATAAATAAATATAATTCTTTGCTATAGATTTCACTTTTACTGAACCTGATTTCATTATGGCGTAGTAATACATCATTTTTGACAACAATTCAACCATTGCAAAGTCCTTTATATTGACCCAGTGTTTCCATCAAGGTCAATTAAATAAAAATAGTTCCGTTTTAATAAGTTACTTTTAATAAAAAATGAACCGTTCTTTGAAAATAAAAAAAGTAGTTCCTTTTTTATTGACCAATTAATTATAAAATTTATCACACAAGGGATATCTACTGTAGAATGTAGAGATAGAGAGAGAGAGAGACAGAGAGAGAGAGAGAGAGAGAGGGGGGTTTAAAGTCCTCTTGACACAAACTAGGTCATTTAGGGACTAACATATGGTCCAATTTTATTTCAATAATTACAAGATATTTATTCTGCCCTTTAATCCATATTGAAGATTAAATGAAAATTTGACCAAATATTTTAGAGAGGAAAAATAAAACATCAAGCACAGATGATCTTAATCACTGGTCACAATATAAAGTTCAATGCAGTGGTTTATTTTACATTTTTTCACACATGGGAACCATGGTCCTTCACCGAGTCCAGGAGGTCCTGGAATCAATCCTGGTTTTCACAAAGACAGTTACTCCGGATTTTCCAGCCTGGTTTACCCAGTGTTTTTGGCAATGTGCTTGTAAAAGAATCATTGGAATTTACTGAAGAGTAGGCGTAAACACCTGTGTCAGGGCATTTTTTATATCATAGTGCAAGGCATGGCATAGGATGTTAAACTTTATTTCATTTCATTTGTTTTCACACTGATAGTGGTTATGCCTGAAGTGAATCCTTGCTTTATTAATCCAAAAATACAAGCTAAATGTAACCCGTATTAGCATTTTTACATGTAAATCATTCTATAGCATTATTTCACCAGAGTAAGAAAATGTTATTTAATGAATCCTGGTCTAAATACTCCTATAAGCAATTCATGACTTGATTGATATTCAATATCCTGTTTCCACAAAATGAGTGTAAAACAAGTCAACAGTGAGGCTGATGTCCCCGACCGAAATCCCAAAATAACAAGCCAACAGTGAGGCTGATGTCCCCCGCCGAAATCCCCAAATAAATAGATGACACATATTAATTAATCGCACATCTATTTTTTTCCAAAGTATCAAGCAATCAAACTGATTAAGAACTATACACTAAGTTTCATCACTCTCTATTAGATAGAATCAAAGTTATCTTGTCCCAAAGCAGGAAATTGCTTATCTCTGCTTAGCTTTAGCTCGATATGTTAATCATTGAACTCAGTCAAGACGAACATCTACATCAAGTTTAAACATCCTACCTCAATTAGAAGAAGAGTTGTTGAACTCAGTCAAGACGAACATCTACATCAAGTTTAAACATTCTACCTCAATTAGAAGAAGAGTTTGACCAATTAAAATGCTTATTGCTCGTTAGCCTAAGCAGAAAATTCTCATCATCGAACTTAGTCAAGGTATTGATGTAATGAAACTATACACCAAGTTTCATCACTCTCACTTAATTAGAACTAAAGTTTTCGTGTTCCAAAGCATCAACAAATCAAATTGCTTATCTCTGCTTACCATAAGCAGAAAATGCTGATCTTCGCACTCCATCAAGGCATTGACCTCATAAACCCCTACACCAAGTTTGAACATTCTAGCTCAATTAGAAGGAGGGTTATTGTGTTCCAAAGTCTCGGCCAATCAAATTGCTTATCGCTCTGCTTACCCTGAGCAGAAAATGCTCATCATCGAACTTAGTCAAGGTATTGATGTAATGAAACTATACACCAAGTTTCATCACTCTCACTTAATTGGAACTAAAGTTATCGTGTCCCAAAGCATCAACCAATCAAATTGTTTATCTTTGCTTACCCTAACAGGGTATGAAACAAGGCATTGACCTAATCAACACATACACCAAGTTTGAACATTCTAGCTCAATTAGGAAGAGAGTTATCGTGCCCCAAAGTATCAACCAATCAAATTGCTTATCTCTGCTTACCCTAAGCGGAAAATGCTCATCTTCGAACTCCATCAAGGCATTGACCTAATAAACACATACACCAAGTTTGAACATTCTAGCTCAATTAAAAGTTATCGTGTCCCAAAGCATCAACCAATCAAATTGCTTATCTCTGCTTACCCTAAGCGGAAAATGCTCATCTTCGAACTCCATCAAGGCATTGACCTAATCAACACATACACCAAGTTTGAACATTCTAGCCCAATTAGGAAGAGAGTTATCGTGTCCCAAAGCATCAACCAATCAAATTGCTTATCTCTGCTTACCCTAAGCGGAAAATGCTCATCTTCGAACTCCATCAAGGCATTGACCTAATAAACACATACACCAAGTTTGAACATTCTAGCTCAATTAGGAAGAGAGTTATTGTGTCCCAAAAAGTGTGACGGACAGACAGACGGACGGACAGACAGACAGACAGACAGACAGACAGACAGACAGACAGACAGACAGACAGACAGACAGACAGACAGACAGACAGACAGACAGACAGACAGACGGACGAACCCATTTTAATAGTCCCCTGCTTTCTTCGAAAGGCGGGGGACAAATAGATGACACATATTAATTAATCGCACATTTATTTTTTCAAAACTATCGAGCAATCAAACTATACACTAAGTTTCATCACTCTCTATCAGATAGAATCAAGATTATCTTGTCCCAAGCATCGACCAATGAAACTGATAAGCTCTGCTTAGCTTCAGCTCGAAATGTTAATCACTGAACTCAGTCAAGACATTCAGCTAATGAACATCAGCATCAAGTTTAAACATTCTACCTCAATTAAAAGCAGAGTTGTTATGTTCCAAAGTCTTGACCAATCAAATGGCTTATCACTCCTCAGCCTAAGCAGAAAATTCTCACCATCAAACTTAGTCAAGGTAATGATATAACGAATCTATATTCCGAGTTTCATCGCTCTAACTTCATTTTAACTAATTTTATCGTGCCCCAAAGCATCAACCAATCAGATTGCTTATCTCTGCTTACCGTGAACAATGTTCATCATCGAACTCCATCAAGGCATTCACCTAATGAATGCCTAAACCAGGTTTGAACATTCTACCTCAATTAGAAGGAGAGTTATTGTGTTCCAAAGTCTCGACCAACCAAATTGCTTATTGCTCTGCTTACGCTCAGTAGAAAATGTTCATTATTGAACTTAGTCAAAGTATTCATGTAATAAAGCTATACACCAAGTGTCCGCACTCTCACTTAATTAGAACTAAAGTTATTGTGTCCCAAAGCATCAACCAATCAAATTGCTTATTTCTGCTTACCCTAAGCAGAAAATTATCATCTTCGAACTCCATCAAGGCATTCACCCGATAGACACCTACACCAAGTGTGAACATGCTAGCTCAATTAGAAGGAGAGTTATTGTGCTCCAAAGTCTCGGCCAATCTAATTGCTTATTGCGCTGCTTACCCTCAGCAGAAAATGCTCATTATTGAAGGTATTGATGTAAGGAAACTATACACCAGTTTCATCACTCTCACTTAATTAGAACTAAAGTTATCGTGTCCCAAAGCATCAACAAATCAGATTGCTACACCTACACCAAGTTTGAACATACTAGCTCAATTAGAAAGAAAGTTATTGTGTCCCAAAAAGTGTGACGGACAGACAGACGGATGGACAGTCAGTCAGACAGACAGACGAACCCATTTTAATAGTCCCCTGCTTTCTTCGAAAGGCGGGGGACAATAAAACACTGTGTCACATATAATAATACAAAAGATTTAGACTTACCTAACTTCTTGACATCTGCCACATATACTAAATTCACGGATTTCCTTTTCCATATTGGTACATGGTGGATAATGACATTCATAATAAACACATGTGTCTTCTGAAAAAAGGTGAATCAAATCCTGTTTTAGATTATGATTAATATAAAATAATGGATATAAAATAAACTTTTAGTAAAGAAAACCTGTTATGTTTTATGATTGTATGTAGCATAAAATATATGATGAACGAAGAGGCATAGTACCAACAAATCCTTCATTCCAACCATCCAGCTTGACTTTTTTTAAAAGTATTTTCAAAATACCAAATGCAAATACAATTTTTTTCACATTTTTTTCTCAGTTACGAACTTTGTTACAAGGTATACAAATTGAAGAATAGATGTATAGTTACCTTCCGTAAGTAAAACCTCACCATTAGAATTATAGTATCGATTATATAAAGGTTCTGGTAAATGCTGAAATAAGAATAAAATGGATAACAACTTGACAATAATTACAGTTTAAAAATTAATATTACAAGTTATTGGAATGTGTGCAAAAAGATAGTAATACGATAAATGTGACTTGTCTTCTTCACAGCAGACACCAGCCCCATTATTAAGTGGCGTAATCAACACATAGAATTGAAAATGTAAAATCATTTCCAGGGTAAAAACCTATAACTTGTAAAAGCAATATAGATAAATTATAGGTTAACAGTAATTAATTCCTCAAGGCACTCTGCAACCCAGTTTAGAAGTTTGTTAATGTTTAGTTTTAATCATATAATTTGTTAAGTCATCTTACTTTGTTCTATTACACATAACCTAAACACAAAAATCACTAAAAATGCAGCTTTGGGTACAGGTTTCTGTACTGTTTGTTAAATAATCAAAGATAAATACAAGAAGCTGAAGTATTGTATTTGGATATTTACAGTAAACCTGTGCATTTTTTCTCGAACAATACCTCTCATTGCCCAACCAAACAATAAAAAGAATAAATGCGAGTTAAGATGCAGACAAGACAAAATACATACTCATGTACATATATATTGTTGCTGATCTATAGGGCAATGTCTTGTCTGTGATATCACTTCGGTGGAACCGGACGTAAAATAAACTTTTTCACACACATTCTATTGGGCCAGAAGATTATCAACAAGCTAGTTTGTCAAATATCAATTGAAATGACAACTATGAGGTTCTATGCACTCAAACCATTATTAGGCCTGATAATTGACAAAAAAATGTAAATAAAATAAACAATTACAACGTTAAGTTGATAAGAAGTCAGCAATTTGAAATTAATATCTGTAATTTCTCATTATCACCCTACATAGACATACTACATCTCAAGGGATGCATTCAGGGCGATGAGTAGACAAAGATACGCACTAACTTTTCAACACCGATCTTATTGAGGCTTTGGAAATTTGTTCCATGACTAAAATAACCCCTCGGACACAAGCAGTCCAATCGTTTGTTGTGTAAATAATGAAGATACAAGCGGAAAGAAACAAACTATTTACAGCAAATGAGAAGTTTTCCCCGACTTCGATCAGTTCTTGAATATATTATGATGTCGTACACATCAGTCACATGATCCACAGTAAACAATCATGCCTGTCTTCAGCAACAGTTTCACACTGGACCATTGACATCTATCTATCTATAACGCCATAAGGATTTCCTTCTAAGACGCAATTATCACGACTAGAACATCTATTTTTGAAGGTCAAAGACTAACATTTTTGAATGTATAAAATGATTTTGAGAGCGGCGGAGCAATGCACTGAAGTAAATATTTACTTTTTATATCCAAATTGTTTTATTTTAAAACTTGTTGTGAACGTATTCAAAGAATTTACCGAAAATAACAAAATTTCGTTTGAAGATAAATAATGAACAAAAATTTTAAAAGTTTGAGCGGCTATTTTTTAACGTTTGATCTAAGGAAGGGATTATCGATATCTCTTTTTAGCATGAACTTATAGAATTTCCAATAAAACTCATCATTTTTTGGCATTTCCATGGATACCAGACAAACCAAAATCTATAGCCAAAACGTGTCCTTTAGGTTTCTTGGACTTGCCTTTAGCGTTGTTCATGCCAAAATTGATGAAAATCCTTGCAGGTTTAACTGAGAAAATTCGACTTTTGTTGTCATCAGCACCCTTTATTATCATGCTTTTGGGCCAAGTTTGGAACATAGCTGGTAAAAAAAAAATCGGTATTTTTTTGGTGATATGTAGTTTATCACCCCAAATAACAAACCAGCAGTTACCAGGCAAGATACACCCACATTTTGCAAGAGATGGATAGAGAACAAGCTATAAAAAAAAAGCAATTTTCTGTACAATCAGAAGCCAGGGGCTATAATCCAAGAATTTACGTTCGAATGTGCGCGAGATCTTTGTGATATAAACATAAATTTAAAGTTTCATCAAAATCGGATCAAAATTGTGGCCTCTCCACAACCTTGATATACCATCTATTTACACTATTTGCGTACGAGGGGCAGACATTTTGTCCAGCAGTTTTAGACCGATTTTCACAAAATTCGAACTTAACCATTATTAGGGTATAACGGGTATATATATTAAAACCTTTTTTTAAATCGGAAAAAAATTGAGACCTCTAGAGGGACAACAAGCTAAAAATTTGATTTTCCGTATTATCAAGGACCAACTTCAGGAAGATACGATCCGATATGTACGAATATCAAAAGGAACCAAGATCTTTGGATGATAAAAAACTGTTTTAAGTTGCATCAAAACTGTGACCACTAGTGGGTCCACAACCTTGATATACCATACTATTACACTATTTGCATACAAGGGGGAGACATTTTGTCTGGCAGTTTTGGTCTGATTTTCACAAAAATTCGATATCAAACGCCATTACGGTGTAAGAGTGATATATATTCAAATGATTTTTTAAATTGGATAATAATTGTGACCTCTAGAGGGACCACAAGCTAGAAACACGGTTTTTCGTACAATCAGGGGGCATAATTCAGGAAGTTACAATCCGATATGCACAAATATCGAAAGGAACCAAGAAATTTGGGTTATCAACATGCATTTGTCAGTACTACTCTAGTATAGGATCTGGAAGAGTTGTTATATAACATGCGTTCTGGATGGCGTGAGGTATTAGCCAATGAAACCATCTGTTATGCCGACTTCTTGACATGCCATGCACGGAACTGTGGGTAAACAAACCACTAGAAACATCAACGCTGATTGATTAATCAATGTTTGGTGTCATAGGGCCAAAAGCCATTCGTTTGACCCCTGACGCGACCTTTCATGTAGTGTAGGCCATCAAAAGTATAACGAAATGAAATATAAATCTGTATTTTAATCAGATTGTGGAAAACAAGACATGGATCTTCCGCTTTAATATTGTTTTCAAGAAATTACTGAAGCAAAATTTTTAAATTATAACAAGTTGATTAGCTATCATCATTACCTATCGAAAGAAAGACACGGATCATCTCCTTTAATATTGTTTTCAAGAAATTACTGAATATTAGTACAATTGTTCAAATTATAATGTTTTGCTCCCGACACGATACACAAAGAATAAATTGTGATCATGTCAAACTTACTTGGTTAGCTTGATTTAAACCCATATGGACTTCTTCTAAAGGATCTCCTTGTAATTGTTGCACTGCTATCCAGTACAGACTCTGTTCACGATTTTTATTAGATGGTTCTTCGTTAGAGGGGACAGAACATTTGTCCTGTAATAACATTAAATTTTCCATACGATTATCAACTGTTACTCCGTTACGATGTACAACTTTCCAACCATGAGCGACTCCTCCACTGTGTCTTTCCCTGGAGAAATCAAAGTAATATAGTATATCATAAAAGATAACTGACCCAAAATACAAACACTCTGTGACACATTTTTGAAAAGTTAGTGATCAGTTTTCTCCCTTTAATTGAACTATATTTTTGGGGTCTGGATAAACAGTCTTTAAGTGCTGAATTAAAGATGCATGTAAGATTTAGATAAAAAGCTGACAGTTCTCACTATAATAGTCAAAAACTAGATAATAAAAAGGGAACATTTTGAAAATTTCAGTCAAATTACTTCATTATGAGCAATGTTAGAACTGTTTGAAGAATAGTGGAGTCTTGATTGTCATTGTTACCATTGTAACTATAGTAAACAAAGTCTCGATTATACATTTTTAATTAAATCATTAACCGCCAATCATGTTAAATTCGTTGAAAATCAAGAGCATCCAATGCCATAGAGAGTTGATTATGGAATGTAATAAATTAATAAATGTCTAATTAATAATTATATAATATTTAAGGTCTAAAGAAAGACCTGCAATAGGCATCTTGAATAATGCATCTTTAATAATGGTACCTGATAGTCACATTTATCAAGTCACACAATGGAAGAAAGGTCCCTATTTCAGTTACATAGTCTTCAAAAAAAGTAGGGGATATTGAAATGCTAATACCTATGCAGGTTGTGATATGATAAATAGTCATGGACACTTGACATGCTTTGAGAGTATGTTCACAGATGAAGAACATATTGCCCCAACGGAACTACTGAGCTGCATGGGTGACATACAAGCGGGAGGGGTTCGATGTCAAATTTGACACTTCAAGGAAGGGTTGATGAAAACTGCTGCATGCTGGTTTATCCTATCAATGTTTGCTTTCCTATCGGTTGTTGCATAAGATTTACTGTTTAGCGTATCTTTGCTTTAGTGTGTTACGTTTAATATGCAATGAGATGTCTTCAACATGATGAACGTCTAGGTGCTATTGCCATGATTCAAATGGGTTCTACACAGCGAGCAGTAGCGAACATGCTTAATGTGTCACATTAGCAGACTGGAACCGGTACCAACAAACACACAAATAATGCTGATGATAAACATCGTTCAGGTCGTCCTAGAGCCACTACACAAGCCCAGGATCGATACATTCGTACACAGGTCCTGCGTAATCGAGGACAAACGGCCAATCTGCTTTCTCTAAACTTGTACCAAGTTACAGGAATTCGAGTTACACCCCAAACGATTAGAAATCGGCTACATGCAGCTCATTTGCATGCGCGACGGCTGCGTGTTGTGCCTCCATTAACTCGCAAGCACATGTCAAACAGTCGTCAATGGTGTAGGCAGTGTAGAAATCGGGTAATCATCAATGGGCGCGTGTAATGTTCTCAGATGAGTTCAGATTTACTCTGGATTTCACTGATAGGCGTGCTAGCGTTTGGAGGCGTGTAAACGAATGTCAGACAGCATGACAGATTCGGGCGTGGGTCTGATAAATCACCACAACTGGCGTGCTAGCGTTTGGAGGCGTGTAAACGAATGTCAGACAGCATGACAGATTCGGGCGTGGGTCTGATAAATCACCACAACTGGCAGAATGGACTTGCATATTGTTCAAAGAAGGGTCACTGGTGTGTACTACCGTGACCACATCCTGGCACCGATAGTTCTGCCCTTTGCTCAACGTGCAGGTCGACATTTCATCTTTCAAGATGATAATGCCCGTGCCCACCGCGCTCATGTCGTGAATGACTACCTCCAGCGTCACCATATTGTCCATATGCCTTGGCCAGCCATGAGTCCTGACCTTTCCCCTATAGAGCATGTCTGGGACATGATCGGGAGACGTGTTCGTCAACGTCAACCGATAACACTGCAAGAATTGGCTGTGGCACTGCAAGACGAGTGGTTCAGATTGCCCCAAATCATGATTGGACGGTTGATTAGGAGCATGCCACGACAAATTGCTGAATGTCTGAGGAATGGTGGAGCAGTTACTCATTATTAAGATAAAAAACCAAAAACATCCATTTTCACTTTTGACAGTGTATCTCTTTGCAAGTGAAATGGGGCCGTCATGAACTGTTTATGTTCATGTGTAGGCAATTGGCCTGTTATTAACATACACTGGTTACCTCTAATAAAAACAGTAGTGCCTTTCCGCAGTTTTGTATTGTTTCTCAATATCCCCTACTTTTTTTGAAGAGTATATATGGTTCTTAACCAATTGAAAATTAGTTCCAAATGGACTAATAATATGAAAATTTTGCATCTGATTATCAAATTTAAGCCCACTACTCACATTACCCTACAATGTATACACTCTGCAATATGGCATAGCTTGTTAAAATCAGACATTCAAAAAGACAAGTACATGTAAACTATTTATTGAATTAATAGTCTGATACCTTCTTAGCTGCGCCAAAAAATGACAAATAAAATAAACCAAAGCTGATAAAAATCTTACCATAATAAATCATGTAAATATTGTCCTGTACCTCTACCACGCTGCATATCATACGCAAAGGCATAAATCTTGGCACCATCTCCATCTTTATTTACTTCAACTTTAGCCTGTAAATATATACATCAAATAATCTGATGCAGATCAATCTGAATCGAAGGACTAAAATAGTCATATATATAGGTGCATCTAAATATTAACTACCATTAATATATTGACTGACGACCCTGTCTATTACTGTGTCCAAGGAGAGGTGTATTGCATTGAATGGCTAGACAATCCAAACTCCAGTTCCAATGGAATAGACAATGCCAAAGTAATGATGATGAGAAGATATTGATTATTTAAAGTGGTGACTGCTTTAATAAATTATTAGTATTTCGCTGGATTTTATACTTTCCAGATAATTTGACAACATGGCTTGACTTTCTCCGCACTGACTTACCTCAAATGCATAATTATCAACCAATGATATATCTCTTTCATCTAATAATGCATATTTTGTCTGAAGCAAAAAAAGAAATTAATGATTAAAGAAATAAATACGAGTACATAAAATTTAAAAACATTAACACTTTCAAGGAACACATCAGTTTCAAACAATTAACACCTCCATTTCTCAACCACAAACATGTTTCATTTAATACTTTTGTAGTGCACTTTCTGTTTTACTGATGCAAACTGATCACTGCGATCACACATTCACTATCTTATGATCATGTGCATGTCTGGGAGCTCTAGTGGTTGTTAAAGATAGGTTGCCAGGCAACGAAACATACGCCCACAGCAGCTAAATCGTCCGGGCAGTCAACAAGAGTTGTCGCATATTTTTACTTTTTTCGGTAATGAAACATTTATAATACACTAAAATCTGATTAAGAGCAACAACTCAGAAAACCATTAGAATTTGTTTGGTTTTTATAAATTTCTGCCCCATGCCAACGTTTTGTATACAAAACTTTTAATACTGTATCATGGATTTAGCTGTTCCAAGTCATAAAAATTCATTGAAAATCAATATACTTGTTCGCCTCAAGATCTTAAACTCTGTGTATCAATCTGAAGTCAATCGGATATTAACTTTGGCCTCTAGAGCGTCCACAAAATTTTTCAAAGTGATCAAGGGCCATAACTTTGGCAGTAATTATCCGAAATCTTTGAAAATCAATAGGATTCTTCGCCTCGTGACCTCAAACACTGCCTATAAATTTAAAGTCAATGAGATTAACTTTAGCCTTTAGAGCATCCACAAGGTTTTTTGAAGTGATTAAGGGCCATAACTCTGGCAGTAATTATCGAAAATCACTGAAAATCAATAGACTTTTTTCTTTCATGACCTTAAACACTGTGTATAAATTTAAAGTCAATCGGATATTAACTTTAGACTCTAGAGCGTCCACAAGATTTTTCAAAGTGATCAAGGGCCATAACTCTGACAGTAATTATCGTAAATTGCTGAAAATCAATAGGCTTCTTCGTCTCATGACCTTAAACACTGTGTATAAATTTAAAGTCAATCGGATATTAACTTTGGCCTCTAGAGCGTCCACAAGATTTTTTGAAGTGATCAAGGGCCATAACTCTGGCAGTAATTATCGGAAATCGCTGAAAATCAATAGGCTTCTTCGTCTCATGACCTTAAACACTGTGTATAAATTTAAAGTCAATCGGATATTAACTTTGGCCTCTAGAGCGTCCACAAGATTTTTTGAAGTGATCAAGGGCCATAACTCTGGCAGTAATTATCAGAAATCGCTGAAAATCAATAGGATTCTTCATCTCATGACCGTAAACACTGTGTATAAATTTAAAGTCAATCGGATATTAACATTGGCCTCTAGAGCGTCCACAAGATTTTTTGAAATGATCAAGGGCCATAACTCTGGCAGTAATTATCGGAAATCGCTGAAAATCAATAGGCTTCTTCGTCTCATGGCCTTAAACACTGTATATAAATTTAAAGTCAATCGGATATTAACTTTAGCCTCTAGAGCGTCCACAAGCAATTGTGGACGCCAGACCGACAGACGGCCGGCCGGGGGCGACAACAATATACGACCACATTTCAATGTGGGCGTATAAAAATGAATATTCCCTTATTCTGCCTTATATTTTAACTTTGATTTTTAAATATGGACATCAAAAGGTTCTCGGGACTATTTCTCTGAGTAGCACTCTTGAAGTGAACAAATTTAAAGAGGTCTAGAGATATTAAACAGAATGTATGATTAACGCACTCTGGCCTATATATGTATGGGTCAAATTGTATGTAATGCTTTCTTTTCACATTGATTATTGACATGTAAATACTTATATTTGTAATTGCTACATAACATGTATACCAGGTTTTGCAACTTCAAGACATAGATTAATTAATCAATAAACTCTCATATAAAAAAAGGCTATATCAGAACAAATTGTTCCGACCAATGTCCAATATTCATCATTTTGGTTAATACTGGAGCCAGATTCTTGTAAACCAACTCACAGCTATTTGTTTACCTAAAAACATATTCAAAATTGTAATATTACATCAACATCAGGTGAGGAAAGGGAAACCACTGACATTTTCTAATAGAAACTAGCCTACTCCTGCTATAAATATCGGATATACACAAGAAAATAGAACAATAGCCCTACAGACCTATATAATAACAAAGCAATGTGGGTTCAGATGGTTTGAATAAATATACAAGTCCACACCCTGGACATAATGATATACATGTTCACAATGCTTATTTTGGCTACCATTCTTAAAGCACAATAATTTATGTGGTTTTGTATACATGCAACCAACATCTTTTTGAATTCACCAACCTCTGTCAGTCAGTGGGAGTATAGAGATCAGATTTCTATATTAAAGATTGCCAGAAAAATATTTAGGACTTTCTCCTGTAATGGCTACAAGAAAGAGTAAACATCTATATCAATCTTAGGCTTATATTATCATCTTATATTCTACATGGATGTTTGTCATTTTACTAGATTATTGCTACAGTTACACAAAAGAGGATGCACACTTGTTATATGTTTGAAATTGAATTTGTAAAGTTGTAAAGTTTCAGTAAAGTCGATTAATATTCTTAATTTGGGCACCAACTAAACTTACCATTAAAGGCATAATATTCAAATACTGACAACCAGATCATACACAATATAAATCAGTACATGTATTACCAAAAATATGGTTAAAAAATTATTGAAATCTTTCCTGACAGAATTTAAGTCCATCTATTAAAGTTCCTTAACATTTTGTTCATTTAATGCCACTACATGTATCTTTTGTGACTCAAAATGGACAGAGATATTTGGGATATAAAGATATATTTTAAGTTTAACAAAATCGGATAAAAATAGGATAAAAATCATAACTTCTAGAGAGTCCACTTGGTCCGATTTTCACGAAATTTGAAACTCAACCATCATTACGGTGATACATTCAAATGTTTTTTTAAATCGAATAATAATTTTGACCTCTAGAGGGACCACAAGCTAATAATTCAGGAAGTTACGATCCAATATGCGCAAATATCAAAAGGAATCCAGATCTTTGGATTTTAAACATGCATTTCAAGTTTCATCAAAATCAGATGAAAATTGTGACCTCTAGTGTGTTCACAAGCTAAAAGCGTGATTTTTCGTACAATCAGGGGCCATAATCCAAGAAGTTTCGATCCGATTCATGCAAATATCAAAAGGAACCAAGATCTTTTGAAGATAAACCTATATTTCAAGTATCTGCCTTAATTATGGCCCTTGATTGTACGAATAAAATCACGTTTTTAGCTTGTGCTCTGTCTAGAGGTAACAACCAAAATCGGATAAGAATTGTGACCTGTAGAGTGTCCACAAACAAATTTTGGACGGATGTCCGGACGGACAGGGGCGACGACAATACACGTCCACTTGAAAATGTGGACGTATAAAAAAAGATATGCCTTAGGTGAATGCATTCAGAATGAAACATTTCATTTCAAATTCTATAAGTTGTGATGTAGATACTGTAGGTACATGTACATGTAAACTGCTATATCAGGTACGCAATGTTTTTAAAAAATAAAATTCTTCAATAAAACAGAGCAACATTTAGATACAAAGACTTGATATGTTAGTTTATTGCATGTGTTTATTTTTAGCTATGATTTGAGACCTTTCGTTTACCCTTGCAAACTTGTTTTGTCATTCAAACATGTGGCTTCTAGGAAATGACATTTTACAAACAATAACAATATGCAGCACCATTTATGCTGCTTACAAATAACTTGAAATTTGGAACAAATAGTTATCGTTGTTTTGAGAATAGGCATATTAACCCTGGAGTAAAGCCACAGTCTTCTCATAGCCTTGTATCACTACATATACCCTGTCCGTGAGAAGGCAACAGGTAGTGTTATCATTTCTATACAAGATACCATCAAGTCCATTAATTTACCAATTAATGACTCACTCACTGTATCAGCTGTATGCGTTATCTAGTGCTAGTAGAATTATCATTAAAATGACATTTCAATGACATCTACAAAAGGTCAACTTCACTCTAGACTATTTCAAATACATTTTATTTTACCCTTTTATATAAATTAATATGGTAAAAAGTTCCTCCCAAACCTAAAGAGCTATTAGTAATATAAAGAATACAGAGTATTTGACCTTAAAGGAGCTAAATCGCTACTATTTTGGACCTAGAAATTGACACAAATGGGTCGCAATGCATATATTGCAATATGAATGTATATAAACTGATTTCTTCAAAAGGTGGGGGCAATAAAGGCGTTTGAAGTACATGTATATGTAAGTAAAAACATATGTCCTATTTAGTGTAAATGGGTATGTAAAATGGGAGCCATGGTAAGACGCTGGCTTGCTAGCCTGGAGGTCACGTGTTCGATCCCTGCATTGGCCGAGAAAGTACATTTCCTCTTGTCAGTGGTGTAGGACGCAGGGCCTGACAAGGACAGCTTGTCTAGTCATTCGGATGAAACAAAAAAAACCTGAGCCTGAGATCCTATGTATACATTGGCGTGCACATAAAAGATCCCTTGGCAGTTGGAATTCGATATAAAAGTAGGCCATAGTGCCACTGCCCGGGCAAAATTTCCCTCAGAGCACACTGTATGGCGTATGCCCGTCTTCATTTGCCCAGTCGGAGCAGAACAGTAGGATGTTAAACCCTGTTTCATTTCGTACGTAAAATGAGTAAAAGGCACCATTCTGTCCGAACCAGTAACGTCTTATGTAAACAATGATTGTCACTGCGTGATGTGATGTCACGTGTTGAAAGCGATCATCTTTTACAAAGTTATCAGAGACTTTCGTAATCCTCTGTAAAACAGATTGGTGAAATATGTCTAGCCTCGTTCTTCGAGTCCCTTGTTACAAATGGGACTAATTCGTGTACCAATGGTAACATGTTTATTTTGTCTTAAATATTGGATATCAGAAGCCCATCTTTTCCCGGTAATATCACAACATCAATGTTGATTTAAATTGACAAATAATTTGTGT